AAACATCGTTATGACATCATAAAGTGGCCAAAATCTGTTCAGCTCATTTTCAGACAGGTTTTTATAGAAATGGATCAGGACAAAAAGAGAGACAATCTTTGTTCCTGAAACTTTCAGAGTCTCTTTCCACAGAGGGGACACATGTTGATGTAGAAGAGACATGAAGAAGAGGGGACACATGTTGATGTAGAAGAGACATGAAGAAGAGGGGACACATGTTGATGTAGAAGAGACATGAAGAAGAGGGGACACATGTTGATGGAGACAAGAGGGGACACATGTTGATGTAGAAGAGACATGAAGAAGAGGGGACACATGTTGATGTAGAAGAGACATGGAGAAGAGGGGACACATGTTGATGTAGAAGAGACATGAAGAAGAGGGGACACATGTTGATGTAGAAGAGACATGAAGAAGTGGATTTTGAATCATAGGTGACTAAGGTCTCACTAACCTGTAAGAAATTCCTTGCGGACTTTGAAGGTGTCTATCAGCGGGGTGAGGATGCCTTCGATGGTGCCGAACATGCTGCCCAGCCCGAGGTTCACCAGCATCAGGAAGAACATGACGGACCAGAAGGGCGAGGCGGGGAAATGTGTCATGGCCTCCGTGAAGGCGATGAAGGCCAAACCTGTTCCTTGGACCGCCTGTTAGAGGAAGAGAGAAGAAGAGGTCAAATATCAGTGGCACTAAGGGGGGCCTTTTTTCAAGACTTTGGGTGACCTTAAGAGATCTTATAACCTTTATTTCTAATTACCCTAAGTCTAATGCTCATGTGTTTCACATTAAAGCCCTCTCAGGAGTTCAGCAGCCTTAATCCTTGCCCTTTCCTGGAGCTTTAATAGCTTAACATCATAAAATGTAACGATCAGAGAAGTAAGTGTGACTGTGCTGTTTTCCAGATGTAGGAAAAGCTCAGAAATAGTTAAGATACTTCTTCAATGCTCAGAATCAGAATATCTTTAGTGTCATTATACTTGTGTACAACAACATTCACATAACATATCGTAAGCTTCTCTCAATACAGTAAAATAATAGTAACAAATAAATAAAAGCAGTGTACTGTATATGTGAAGCTAGCTCTAGCAGCTAGTTAGCTCAGGCTACGTACGCTAAAGTGGCCCAAATGTTTTTCTTTTAAAGCAGATTCAACTTTTTCTTTCAAATATAATGCTAAAACTAAAATCACATGGAATCTAATACATTGTGATTTGTTCCTAAGTCTGAATTGAAAAGCTTCATTTTGGAATTCATGCAACCTTTATTTCACTATACTGTAGACCCGTATACTCATGTGCGTTAGCTCAATTAGTAATCGAATCATGCCAAACTCTTTGTTGTTCTTCTCGTGTTTTTGGTTACACAATTCACGTTAGCCCAACAGTTTGAAGAACCATTGTCTCGTGCGTTAAGACCTTAAGACTCGCAGCTTTGGTTTCTACCTTATTGAGCTCGCCCTCGATGCTGCAGGCCTCCAGACCCAGCGAGCCGAACTGGTCCTCCTTCACCCTCTTGATGATCTCAATCATCTGATCGTAGTCCTCGCTGCTCACCTCGCTGCCCTGAGTCAGGTTGATGTGGTGAGGGATCAGGCTGTGTTCAATCTCGTTCCCCAACAACGACACAATCCTTTGGGTGTTTCTAAAAAAAACAAAACAGGCAAAAGTTATTGGTTACTTTTGCAATGCATTTCACGCTTGGACATATAGAGTTTGATAACTGTGGCAGATTGGTCCTTAATATTAACAAGAAGTGGACAAAATAAAAAGATTTTGAAATGTTTTGCCGGCAGCTATGAAAAAGATTACATTTGAATGTTTCCAGATGACTCGTTTTAAAAATAAAATCATATTTTTTTACATAACGTTTACCCTTCAAACGTTATAACCAAGTATATAACTAATGCTCTGCTCCAACCTTACAAAGTCACTTACTAGCTTAGTTGTAGCTCATGTTAGCGCCAATAAACATTATTTAATACATTAATTACACTTTTGTTTGTGTCTTTTATTTTGAAAAGGCTTGAAACCCATTGTTTGTGTGCACAGCATGAGGAGAAATGTAGTGACAACTGTACCTAGTTACAGTAGCTACAATATGATTGTGTAGTCGATGTTTGTGGGCGGGGTTTAGAAAATGGTTCAAATATAGTTTAAAAATCGTTCAGAGAAAACTTGTTCAGGGACTGTAAAGTTGTTTAAAAGTCTAACATATATTCAAACTAAATATGGTAGGGGCCTTTTCTTCTAAACTATTTCCCCAAACTGTTTCCTTTTCTGCTATTTCAACATGTCAAGAATAAAATAACCACATAGCCGCTTTTAGTCTGAGTATCATTCTGTCATGCAGTTGTCTATAAATATCTGAATGTGAGAAGAAGCTGCTGCTACTCACAGAGAGATGCATTTGGCGTTCATTATGTTGGCTTTAAAGCCCAGCACGGCAAAAACCACCAGGGTGGCCAGCACGGAGGTGAAGAAGTTGATAAAAGACACCAAGACGGCATCGAAGTGGCAGTTGTTGTCCCGCTTGTTGTAGCTGGAGAAGGCGATGACGCCTCCGAAGCCGAGGCCCAGAGCGAAGAAGACCTGCGTGGCCGCCTCGCGCCACACTTTGGGCTCCAACATGATCTCCAGCTGAAGACACAAAGTGACACAGTGTACCGTTAGCTTCTCTTTGAAGGACAGCTATATTATTTTGATAAAGGAGTATATTTTGAGGGTAAAAGCAGTCAAATAACTTGCAAATCAGAGAACGTTGACATTTTCTTACACATTCATTACTCTTAAAGTAGGGGTGTCAAACTCAATTTCATCGCGGGCCACATTAGCATTATGGTTGCACTCAAAGGGCCGGTTGTAACTATATAAATATACATATATATAATATATATATAAAATAATATATTATATTACACTATTGCCTCTGAATTGGATTATTATCGGATAGGACAAATAATTGCAAGTCTCTTCAGTGTGCATGTCACAAAACGAGATGCATTGTGGGACATGTAGTTTAAGTGCAACCTGTTTCTGTAAAGTGGCTTGTAACCGTATAATAAACGTATTATATTATTTGGAAGCTCTTACAGGCCACATAAAATGAAGTCGCGGGCCGGATTTGGCCCCCGGGCCTTGAGTTTGACACCCCTGACTTAAAGTCATCTGAAGAATGATTTAACACTGAAGTCCACAACATGAATGACTGGAATTGAAAGTTGAGAACAAGCAAGTAAGTGGTCATTCATTTGAGTTTATTTTCCTCTTTCAAATCTTTGTGAATTCAATATTTTCTGGTTTTAGACTCTATGAAATCTTTAGCTCTATGAAATATTAATGCTAATTTCTCATCTTAAAATGATATATTAATCATAATTGCAGCCCTACAGCTGAATATATAGATATATTCAATAAACGTTGTGTATTATGGCAGTTGGATTAGGTAGTGATGGCTGGATTTATGCGAGCTCTGATGTTTTATTTGAGATAAGGTGGGGGTTATTTGGCATACGTTTAAAAAATCTTTGCAATAAGCTTTATGTATGTTCTTATGTGATTTTCACCAGTTTTCTTTAAATGCTTGGATGAAAATAATGTTAAAATGTAATACCAGTTATCTTCATGTGAGTTGATTTAATGCGACATATCCATCCACAGCCCTCTATCACCATCATATCGATTTTTCTATAAAACTAACACACACTATTTCTGTTTGTTTTTTGCGGACTGCTCCACGCACCATCTTGCCAAATGACAGCTGGCATGTTGACAGTTTCCACGTTTGTCCTTTTCTGTAACAAAAGCCCTGAATCTGTTCTGATAGAAAGCAGAAACACTTTGATGTCTGCAGGTCCTCGCAGAATGGCGGCAGCAGAGCGAGTGGTTTATTGGAGTATTTCGGTGTCAGCCGAGGACACGGAGCAGACACCGGAGACCGTCTGCTGTGAGCCAGCGTTTTCAGGCTGGTTGGTTACATAAAGCCTTAGTAACTCCTGTTTCCATGGTGACATGATTCCACAGCCTGAGATGCCACTGGCCAAAAAGAGCCGGCCAATCACCGGGCAGATTTCATTTTTGAGTTCTGAAACCTTTTTTTTTTCTTCAGTCAATTCAGTTCAACAGAGGCGGCTTGAAAAATTGTTAAATGTTAATTCCTGCCAAATTGGAGGTATTAAGTATAATATATAATTTAAGTACTTCTTCATTTTAAAAAGACGAGACGATTAAAGGATTGGTTATCTAATTTGACTATTATTTTAGTCAGTGTTCAAGCGGTGTCAACAAACTTCTCCTGATTCCAGCCTTTAAGATGTTTGATTTGATGCTTTTCTTTGTGATAATTAGTGTAAAATCCTTACTACTGGTTAAATAAAACTATATTTTCAAAGACACTTTCTTGTTCTCTGGCAAAAATATAATTGACCTTTCTGACATCTTATAGACAAAGCAATTCATTGAGACTGAACAATTATTGTTAGGTAAATCCTTATAATCAAGATATCCCTCCATTAGGTAAAATGTTCCTTGGTAGGGACATTAGTTATTCCTGTTTAACATCGAGTTTTGTTTTGAGACTCTTGGTCAGACTTAACTTATTGACTTAAGATTTATTGATCCTATTTCCTGACATATCTCATTTTAATTGACGATGGAAGCAATTCAGAATTTCCTAATACAAAATACTGATTTGCTGATGTGTAGGTTGGCTGTTATGCTGTATCTGATGTTTACTTTGAGCTTACTTATATATTATAGAGAGAGTGGATTCATAAGACTTTTTCTCATTTGTACTATTACAAGTGAGGAGAAACCCTGACTTTAAGGTGCGTTACCTTTGGTGTGAACATGTGTCGGATCCCGTCGATGGAGCCCTTCAGGAGCAGAGCCCGCACCAGGAAGCAGATCAGCACCACGTACGGGAACAAAGAGCTGAAGTACATCACCTGTAAGTTAAAGAAAAACTCCTGTTAAATGCATCAAACTAAACCAGTCAGCCTGTAGTTACATTAGTTCGGTCTACATACATACAGTATATCGTTTGGCACAACATGAAGGCATGATACCGTCAAAAGAAGCAGTAGAGGTGAACCATTTAGCAATAACAGGGTATACGCAGGAATCCTGAAGTCAAATGTAAAACCTTTTAAGACCTTTTTTAAAACCCTCTCCAGACATTTTAAGACCTCATCGCCACTTGGAGGTCTCACCGGTTACCTTGGCGACACACTTTACCTCACATTGACTATATACAGTATGGATTGTCCTTCCTCCTTATCTTCCAACCATTTGGACGCAGACTTGCATTTCCCCATAACGATGTTGTTTAACAACCGGCGTAAACGGGCCTTCGCAGCAGTGAGCGAGCGATGTCCTGTTCAGATGACGTCCAATCCAACGGGATGCCATAAATAAACTACACAGAATCACACTACACACCTACGCAATGATTACATTCAGGCAGACTGTAGAATACAACCTCTTTGGACCATTTATATACTTATTGAAAACAAGCTACAAAATGTAACACCTTGGAAAATGCCCTTTAATACTTTTTAACAGCCTTCATTTTCGCTAAATTGATTTATCAACTTTTAATACTTTTTAAGACCCCGCGGACACCCTGAATAAAGACAAAATGTTTGATGATCATAAGTTGCTTAAAAATCAAAATAAGATGCTTTTAGATGCCAATGACCTGTAGATAAATCAGATAATCCAGATTAGACTACTTTAGATGTACATTGTCTCTTGCTTATTGCCAATTGTCACGGTTTTCCAGGTCACTGAGTAAAACCTATCGGTGATTAGATGACAACTGCTTTTCAGTTCCTGTCAGAAAAACACTTATCAGACTGTGCCTTTTTAGAGAAATACTAAAATACATTTAGTGTGATCTTGCTATCTAACTATCTATGCAGCGTGATCATGGTCATTTGGCAGAAACATGAAATGAGAGTTAACACTGAGCAGTTCTGTCTAATGTGGATGGCATTTTGTTCCTGGTCAAAATAACTCTTTTTAGGTGAGGGACTTTGACACACATTTCAACTTTTATTTTGTGTATCTTTACGAGTGACATCTTGAAGAAGAGATGACTTGTTGTACCATGAAAGCTACAGTATGTTATCAATATCAGCAAGAAAGCTTTTTATCCAATTATCTTGCTATTTACTGTAGACAGTGGGCGTCTCTCTCTTCTTTTCTCTCCTTTTCTATAAAGACTAGGTGGCACTTAAATCCTAAGAGGTCTGACTCAGACTCTACTTTGTGAGACGTCAGCTCACAGGATGGGCAGAGGGGTGTGTGGGGGGGATGCAGTCATTGTAGGATGGTTTGGGGTTAAGCACAGTAAGTGATTCAGAGACATCTAACATGGTCCATATGCAGCTCTGACAAAGACTGTGTAATGTCACGTCTTTAAAGGGAAGGGATAATTCACCCTCAAGCAGGATTCACTCACATGTTTGAAAGTTCATTCAAAGACAGTGAAGACAAATGACTTTCTCTCAATGCTTGGAGACAGACAAACGTATTTCTGATTGTCCTTAATGTGAAGTAGTTTGGTTAAAGGTGGGGTATGTAATTTTGGAGAAACCAGCTCCAGTGCGCTCGAATTTGAAAATACACTGGAAAAAATCTGCCCCTTCCTTCAGACTTCCTTACAGAGCCCCTCCTCCCTCCTCCAACACACACGAACGCGCACATGACCAATGAGGGCACGAGATAAGTTTGTGCACAGAAGGAAGGCTGACAGGCAGGTAGGCCATCCAGTTATTTTAGCCGGGCCGGCTCAGATGATTGGTCGTGCTTTTTACAGCGACACGGCTTCCACAGATGACATTTGTTAATGTATTTATTGTCAAAGCATTTAATGTATTCATTGCTATCTGGATGTTAAGAGCATTCCATGGAATATAACAAAAAGTGTTTCTGAAGTGAATTACCTACCCCACCTTTAACACAGTCCATTTACAAAGAGGTTGAAGGCCAATTGCACACAAAAAATAAAGCATAATTACTAGAGACCATTAGCGGGTGAAGTGATGTTGGCAGTACTTTCATGCATGGAAGGACAGACTAAAAAACTCATGGCATTTACAATACACAATTTAATTTCATAAAAGAAAAACCTGGTATAGGTAAGGAATCAAACTGGCATTTATGGGCCTAAAATGTGGTGGGTGGTTCATAGTATGCAGTAAAGTTAATAGTATCGAGATCCAGTACTGCATTTCCACTTATAGGTATGAAGATGTGTTTTCTTACGCAAATTAGTAAGTAAAAACTACTTATCAGAGCTATTTCTTCTAATTTTAAGTGTTCATACGTTAAGAGTTGTGTTGAATACCCAAAAGAAATTGAGAAATGAATTCATGCTAAAATGTCTCCGTAAATAATCTGAAATGATACACTCACTCACACTGCATTTTTTGTGCAGTATTTTTGTTTTGATCTGACTCACAGACACATGTTTGACTGACGCAGTTCCGGTGTAGCATTGAGAGTCCTCCCCAACAGCAGCAGGAGAGGGGGGGAACCATCTTGACGGTCAGTGTTGGGGGCTTCTCTGCTGTCTGCCTGTTAGATGTTGTGTGTAATAATAATAATAATAATAATAGTTATCAAGCGCTTTATCAGCTGCTCAAAGACGCTTTACAGAGGTAAAAAAGCAAAATAAAAAGTCAAATAAACAACATTTATCACAAGGACACAGCATTAATCACACATTAAAACGTGTGAAGATTGAAAAAGACAATATAATCACAACATAGGCAATCCAAATGACAACGTGACTTTATATGAAGAATGTACAACCACCACGGGCCCTGGTAGACCACCACACAATACAGAATATTACAATCCTGTGCAGTAACCCCGATATGTGCAATTTGCACTCTTTTGCATTCTGCTACTTCGCTCAGCATTAATCACTGGTATTTGAAATACATACATTATATGCAATCAGCATTTAAATGCTGTTACTTCTAACCATGGATGTGTACTTATTAGTCTTTATTTTTTATTTGTATGCCTTTATCTGCACTGTCACTTTTCTTGTGACGAGTCACTCACAGTTTTTTCTTTTTTTCAAATTGTTATTCAATAACAATACTAAAATGACAAAGTATGGAGTCAGTCAGCCGATATCTTTTTATGAATATATCATATAGCATAATTATCCACCCAGATCACATCACACATCCTCTGCTTTTCTGTTTTATTGATTGATTATATTGTCGTGTTTTTTCTGACTTTTGTTTGTGTTTTGTGTAACTTGTACGGCGACATTGAGACGCTTGAAAGGCACCTTTATTAATAAAATGTATTATTATTATTATATGATATTTCCCTAAAATGAATGGTAACTGTACAACAAATCAGCGTCCTTCCCTGTTTCATAAATGATTTCAAGTCCTTTTTTCTGTCCCTTAGAAAAATTCAATCTTGTAAACTGTCTATAAAGAATATTTACATTGACATTTCGATTTTTTTTTTATTGTAAGTAAGCTTAATGCCTCCTAAATGTGTTTTTTCTTTCCCCCTGGCTCCTATTGGATGTATTATTTATGGGTTTTTTCTTATTGTGATTTTCTTTGCACTTATGTTGATAACTTGATGATATCCTCACCGAGCTTTTATATGTTCTAAATATGTTCAATGCAAAATAATAATAATAATAAAAAAAACAAAAAAGACTGACGCAGTTCCGTTGTTTCAGAGCGTCCTCGCCAACGGCTGCACGAGAGGGGGGGGAACTATCTTGCCGGTCAGTCTCTTCCTTATGTCTTTGCCTGTCTGCCCGTTACTGTAGTGTACTGGAGATGCCAAGATGGCTGCAAGCAATTACTTCGGCTTCACACATGGTGCCGGTCCGCAGTACAGGTAAATACAGGTGATGGAGTTCGGTGTCAGCGTGTGCTCTGACTCACATCTATCAGCTCGTGCTGTGAGTCACGTCTGTCTGCGCGTGCTGTGCAACGGTCGGCGGTTGGTACCGTTGGGTACTCAGCTAGCTTCACCTGCTAGTTCTGTTAGCTCACGTTAGCAGGCCGACACACTGCTGGCTTTAGGTGATAAAACCCAAGTATGGTCATCTTTATTTACCCTTTAAACCAGTTTAAAATTGCTTAAAGATGAACAATAAGGCGGTCATGGTGAATGTCACGCAGCTGATTTGTCTAACGGAGCCGGTTGCAGCTGTGACGAGATATTTTGGCCGGATTAAAGAGGGCTAAACCTGGTGTAGCTGCCCTGAAGGCAGAGGTGGAAAGTAACTAAGTACTTTTACTCAAGTACTGTACTTGAGTACATTTATGAGGTACTAGTGCTTTACTTGAGTATCTCAATGTTTTGCTACTTTGTACTTCTACTCCCGTTCAATTCAGAGGTAAATGGTGTATTTTAACTCCACTACATGTATTTAATACCTTTAGTTACTTCACAGATCTGGATGAAGGATGTGAAATATAATCAAGTGTTAAATCAGACTTTAGTTCCACCTGGAGTAAATTCAAAAGCTACCCTGCAGTATACAAAGTCATTCAAACTAGCTGCACCTTTACCAGCTTTGAGAACACTTTCATGATCAATCATTATAAAACATATCATATATATTATTTTGAAATGGACCNTATAGGTATGGTCCTACACTATATTATTCAAATATAGCATGATAGGTCCACTTTAATTTATATAATTAAACAAAGAACATGCAGGGACAAGGGACAAAGTGTCCCTGCATGTTCTTTGTTTAATTATATAAATTAAAGTGGACCTATCATGCTATATTTGAATAATATAGTGTAGGACCATACCTATATAAGGCATATTTATACTTTTTATTTTTCAAAATACCAAACAGATCATGCATTTTAGCCATTCCTCATTTCGCTCAATTTAACACTGTCTTTGCATCATGGGCTGATTCTGTGAGAACAGCACCATCTACAGGCCTGGCATATGTACTACAGCGTCTCCAGCGCTTTCCAACGGCAATGTCCGTGGCTGTCTCCTCCTGATTGGATGAGTTGGCCCAATAGCCGTAGCGCCACTTCTGTGACGTCATAGAAGTTTTCAAATCTGGATCAGTCTGTATCAGATCCGTTGCAGCCCCTTTTTAAAAGATTTGGGTATGGAGGAAAATAGAGAGGGTTGTGTTTTCTGACACTTGGTGAGTTCCCTGGAACACCGGGGACACATATTCATGTAGAAAAGACGTACAAAAGTGCATTTTGCATGATAGGTCCCCTTTAAATTCACCATTCACATGCACTAAAACCTATATAACACAATACAGGAAAGGGAAAACCCCCAAAATGCATAATACGGCCCTACAGGGAATAAAATAATCTCTTATCTTAAACACATATCATCTCTAGTAAATGAAAGGACATTACAACATCTGACCCCAACCTGCTGTGTGTGTCCTCCAGGCCAGAGAGCAGGAGGTGTTCTTCCCCCTGTGGGGCGTGGTGGTGTGCATCTCCCTGGTGGTGATGGCCATCATGCCGGTGCCCGTGGTCTTCGCCCTGCGCTACTTCAACATCATCGACGACAGCAGCGGGGGCATCTCCACCGTCGCCTACAAGAAGGGCCGCATCATCAAGGAGACGGCGCGGCCGGGCGAGGACGACGACGCCAGCCTGATCCAGGGGAAGTCCCCCAGCGAGGCGCCATCGCCGATGCCCGGAAACAGCATCTACCGCAAGCAGAGCGGCGGAGGGTCCGGAGGAAACGAGGCGGACACCGCGCCCAACGGCCGCTACGGTATTGGCTACTTGATGGCCGACATGCCGGACATGCCCGAGTCGGACTTATAGACTGACTCTAGTGACCCCCGCCCTCTCTCTCCACCCTCTGCGTGCGTTTAGTTGGCCGTATCATAAATGTATATTTCGCTTGTAATGTATATTATTTGTAGATATCGTAGCCCCTCTCTTATTTGTCGTCTCTGAACCTTATATGACTGACTGTGCACCTTTTTAAAATTTCATAAAAAGGTTTGGGAATAAGGTCCCATTCCAAACCGACCCATACACCCACCAGCGTTCGCTCTGCGTGGTCACGTGGAGAGTCGGCCACAAATAAGTGCATTTACCAACCGATGGGTTCAAATAGTTCCTTATATTTTCCAGTAAACTGTAAATGAAGACATTTATTTTGTCATATAGATGTTAACAACTTAATGGTTGGTAAGCAGTGTTGGGTGTAACGCGTTACAAAAGTGCAGAGAAAAATTGTGCAGCGAGGCGGTCGGCAGTTGTTATGCTGCTATACCACATCGCCCTTCACTGGATGTATAATGAGCTGCACTAAACTACATTTTCGCATTTAAAATACCTAGCTATTCTTTTGTGGTTATTTTGGTGAAAGTAACTCAAAAGTAATATAAAAGTAGTATAACTCATTACGCTTGAGAGACAGTAATATTGTAATGTAACTTATTACTTAAAGAGACAGTAATATGTACTGTATTACATGTTGGAAGTAACTTGCCCAACACTGTTGGTAAGTACAGTATGCCTGTGTCTAGTCTAGAAGACAGGGTGAGCCAGATCCCTGAGGGGGCTCTTCTTTTACATTACATTACTACATTACATTACATTACATGTTACTTGTTAGACACTTTTATCCAAAGCAACTTACATACTCAATACTGTGGACAATCCCCACAGGAGCACTTTGGGGTGAAGTGTCTCAGGGACACAACGACATGCTGACATGACATGCAAAGAACTTTTAAATAGCTTGCTACTTAATAAACCAACTATTTGACTCACAGTATCAAATAAAAAATGATTTTAGGATTTAAAAAAGTGTTATATCTTCCGCTAAGATAAAATGGTCTGTTCCAATGCGTAACAACGACTGGAACTGAGGCGCGATTATGGAAAGTTACGTGATTTCCTTCTTTAGTCGGAAAGAGGTGAGCTTGTCGCTGTATTTGCACACCGCCACCTCAAAAGAAGGAGCCATATTCAGCGGTGAGTGTGACTACAGACGGAGTTAACTGTTTCACGGAGGGGGAGTGTGTAGGGGTCGGTTTGGAATAGGGCCTAAATGTCATCCTTGTCTAACCCATTCGGCTGCGTCCCAAACTCATCTCTGGCTCCTGCTCTTTCTACATGTGCTCCCTCCTCTTGCAGGAGGGCAGTAAAAGTGTAAGCAATAAGGTGGGGGCTCCAGCAGGCCTACTTGAAAACAAGAATCAGGTCAAGAGGTCATGTTGGGACTGTGTCTGTGGGCAGTGTACATCTATCCTGCTTCATGTCCTACTGTATAAAAAGTGGTGTATATTAGGATCCATAACTGATAGCCAACCAGTCGTGAGTTTAGTAGCAGTTTAACGATGCAAGATGTTTCCGGTGAGGTCACCTCAGTTCAAACAGCGAGGGGACGGCCTCTGAAAACCACTGAGACAGAAGTGTGCCTAAGTAGTTTATATTTGTTTATAGAATACATGATGGCTGTTGTATATTTAAGGTATTCTGTAAATATAATATAAATATTATAAATATATTTATCTTGATAGTTTGGATATCAACACCGTGTTTTTAAGGTTCAGAAGTACTTCAAATCCTTAACTCTCTCCGTGTCTTTGTTTTTTACTAATGTGCTCTCCATGTTTGTGAGGACCGAGTCCTCCGTGTAAATAATTTTTCCATGAAATGGCTTCAAATGCAATGTCTTTTTTTCCCCGTCAAAATTAAAGATCAAATATGGTCCATAAAATGATACTTATGTGATGTCTGTTTTTTGTCTTTGAACGGCAGTTTTTCCCAGAAATTCAATCAAGGTTTCCAAATCAAAACTTTCAAAATAAATCTTAATGTAAAAAACTTAAAAATACCATAAAATTAAACAACAACCAACCCAACCACAGTTACTACATACTTAATGTAAGAACATACCAAAAGAAGTATTATAATATCAGAAATATGTGTTCAAAAGAAATCAAAACCCTCAAAGTACACCCTGTAGCGAGTAAAACTCTAACACAGGAAAGACCTGTCTGTGCTGCCTCAGAACGCCTCGTTGGACATTTCTCTTTTTCCATTGTTTGCTTCCTGGGTTCTGTGACGTGTGAACACCCCAATCAACAACAAATGACCGGATTGGCCCAAATGGACCAATCAGCGGAGCACCTCACACACCAGGATCCCTTGGCTAACTAACAGGGAGTCCCATTGACTTGCATAGAGCTCCCTGAACGCTGGTAATAGACGAGTTGGGATGGCGGAGAAATTCTCTCTGCAGACCCATTCTCACAGCGTTAGAAACCTTTTTCTTACTCAATATCAAGCCACACTTATTGTTTTTACTTCGGCTGTGAGAGTTTGTGTGTGCTCAGGATGAGTTTCACTGTGTCTCTCTGTATCGCCGACCCGGAAACCTGTCCGCTCCTCGCAGCAGCAAGCCTCGCAACGTCCCGACCAATCAGAGCACACTGGGCTCACAGGGGGGGAGGAGCTCCAACAAGCCGTTTAGGACAGAGAGTGAATACACATACTATACAGAGATGCTGTATGAGAAACCAACGTGAGTTTGGAAAATTGATCAATTTGAATATATTGTACATTCTCAACAATGGAATTATGATCAGTAGAAATGGCCATGACATGAGACCTTTAAGTATTTTTACTTTTATAAAAAGAGGAATAACCAATACAATGTTTACACACACTCACGTCCTTCTTGCTCTGAAAATAAAAACAGCACAATCCCAGTAAATAAAATAGCATTTACGTATTGTTGACTTCACAAAATGTAACTCAAATGACATAAAAGCTTTGTAGAAAGTCGGCAGCATATGAGAAGTGGTAAACACACACACGTGCAAATAAATAATCAAATATACACTTTTTTAAAAGGCTATTTTCTTTGGCTTTCTTTCCAGTTTTTTTTTTAAATCATACAACAGGTAAACAAACACTTCTTCTCAGGAGCAGGGGGTCTTCCTGAACATCTGCGCTGCTGATAACAACGCAACCCGACCATCTGTGTCCCTTTTAGAAACATGTCTCTTTACTAATCACAAAAAGATGTCTGGTGAAACACGGCAAATAAGTGCATCTTCAAAAACAACAAATATTGATTACTTGAATGGCTTTTCTTTCAGAGTGGTTCATTGCATTGTGCTCTCCTTCATTAGCTCTGGGTCAGTGCACTTGATAGTCAGTATGGCTGTCAGAAACTGAGGTAAACATCCTTTAATGTGAGCTGCTCACACATCGCTCCACTGCAGAGAGGATCCCTTTCCACGAAGGCTCTGAAAAACATCATTGGTATAATTATTACCACCATCACGGTTACAACAACTACTAGTAAGAGTGTTAACATAAGGTACAAGTATGTTCTCCTTCATAATATCACACAGTTAACGAGATAATCATATGTAGATAAATGTATGCAATATAAAAAAATTAATTAAAAAACATATTCAAATTATAAAATGACAAAATGTGAATTAAATACATACTGTGTATACAAACCTGTGGGCTCAGTATTACATGTTGTCTTATCCTATTCTTTCTTAAACATATATTAAAAAATTAAAAATGAATGTGGATATGTAGCACCATGTGGCATATGTTTGCAAAGTACAATTAAAACAACTAAACTACATAATGGAAATAAATACATGCATTCAAACCTGTAGTCATCATTGAGCTCATATCCACATATTCAGATATGTTCAAAGTTTGTATTCAACTGTACAATATATATATTTTTTCTTTTCCTGCCAACTTACTTATAATATAATACACACTTTACTTCATATCGCGTGTAGCACCAGGTGGAAATGTATACAATACATTCAACCTGTGGGCTCAGTCATGATGGAGCTTTTATCCCCACATATGTATATATTATTACAGTATTTGTATTACTGCAAAGTATGTAAGTGTATTTCTTTTTCTGGCAACTTACTTATAGCATTACAAACTTTACTGAATCTCACTATGTAGCAAAAGCATGCTAAATTAATTTAAAGAAATAAAATGCTGAAATAGGAAACACGTACCAGCGTGTGGGTCAGTCACCGGGTAGCTGCTGTCTCATTTTGGCGGCGATCTGCTCTCGTTTCTCGCAGTGTTTCGTCAGGTCTTTGACCTCCATCGGCAGCGTGCTGTTCCACACCATCAGCACCGACTCGTCTGTGTGACACACACACACACACACACACACACACACACACACACACACACACACACACACACACACACAGAAAGAGGGGACGGAGTTAAAAAATTCCTTTACTAATCCATTTATTCAATTAGCATAGTATTTCCAGTCTTTCTAGCAAATATGCTATCTAAGGAAATAAAGAACATGTAATAGGCATGTCTGGTATGTCCTNGACACACACACACACACACACACACACACACACACACACACACACACACACACACACACACAGAGGGAACGGAGTTAAAAAATTCCTTTACTAATCAATTTATTCAATTAGCATAGTATTTCCAGTCTTTCTAGCAAATACGCTATCTAAGGAAATAAAGAACATGTAATAGGCATGTCTGGTATGTCCTNTGTGTTGCTGTGTGTTGCTCTGTGTTGCTGTGTGTTGCTGTGTGTTGCTGTGTGTTGCTGTATGTTGCTCTGTGTTGCTGTGTGTTGCTCTGTGTTGCTCTGTGTTGCTGTGTGTTGCTGTGTGTTGCTGTGTGTTGCTGTGTGTTGCTGTGTGTTGCTCTGTGTTGCTCTGTGTTGCTGTGTGTTGCTCTGTGTTGCTCTGTGTTGCTGTGTGTTGCTGTGTGTTGCACTGTGTTGCTGTGTGTTGCTGTGTGTTGCTGTGTGTTGCTCTGTGTTGCTGTGTGTTGCTGTGTGTTGAATAGGCATGTCTGGTATGTCCTGTAGATTCAATTTGTGCTGTGTGTTGCTCTGTGTTGCTGTGTGTTGCTGTGTGTTGCTCTGTGTTGCTGTGTGTTGCTGTGTGTTGCTCTGTGTTGCTGTGTGTTGCTCTGTGTTGCTCTGTGTTGCTGTGTGTTGCTGTGTGTTGCTCTGTGTTGCTGTGTGTTGCTGTGTGTTGCTCTGTGTTGCTGTGTGTTGCTGTGTGTTGCTGTGTGTTGCTGTGTGTTGCTCTGTGTTGCTGTGTGTTGCTGTGTGTTGCTGTGTGTTGCTGTGTGTTGCTGTGTGTTGCTGTGTGTTGCTCTGTGTTGCTCTGTGTTGCCGTGTGTTGCCGTACACACACACACACACACACTTTAGAGAAACTCACACAGCGAGACGGCTGTTTTCATCAGCGTGTGGCACAAACAATAACCACCATCACACTCACCGAACTGATTTGTGTCCTGTGGGAGTTTTCTGCCCAGAACCAGCACCACGTTCTTCCAGTTTAGTGTTTCTGTTCCGGAGGAAATGATCTTTAGTCACTCTTGAAAGACAGAGGCTTGACAGAAAGGCTTTGGAAAACATGTTGAATATAATAAACAGTCAAGCTGTGAGCAGCAGGCTGGTTCACCCAACAACCCAGACAGACTCACTGTGATGGAAAGCAGTTGGCAGTGTTTGATGTTTTCTATAATCATTCAGCTTCCTTACCTTTTTTTTCTTTTTATTTCAAGTGTTTTTGCTTTGGATTTATGTAACTTTAATTTATTCTTGGCCTAAATACTGTGCTGTTTATTTATAAACCCAGTAGAAAGTAGAAAGTGTTAAATAGACAAAGTTCATCTTGAAGCTGTGGAAAACATGCAAATAAAATGACTGAGTATGTGCAGGAAACATTTATTCTGAGGCGTCTGAGATTATCACCATCTCATATAAACATTAACATTTATGCTAATTAGGCAAATTAGGGTTAGGGTTGTATTGAATTAGCTAAATCCCTCCAAATTAACATAATGTTATATAACTACTTTCACTGTGGACTCCTAACCCGTAGAGGGAGCTGTTTAAAGATTTCTATTAATTTTATTCTATTTTCAATTTTGTATTCTATTTTAAACTCATGTGTAATTCCTGTTACCATGCTAATCCCACAAAAGAAATACCTATTTGGGATAAATAAAGTACATCTCAAATCTCTTTTAAGTGTGTTGTTTATTTACCTTAAAAGCACTGAACAGATAAAATGTATTATAATTATTTATTTATTTGAATTATTATTATCATTTGTTGTAGTAAAAGTAGTAGTAGTAGTAGTAGTAGTAGTAGTAGTAGTTGTAGTAGTAGTAGTAGTAGTTAGTAGTAGTACTAGTAGTAGTAGTAGTAGTAGTACTAGTACTAGTAGTAGTAGTAGTAGTAGTAGTTAGTAGTAGTAGTTCAAGTAGTAGTAGTAGTAGTAGTAGTAGTAGTAGTAGTAGTAGTTAGTAGTAGTAGCAGTAGTACTAGTAGTAGTAGTAGCAGTAGTAGTACTAGTAGTAGTAGTAGTAGTAGTAGTAGCAGTAGTAGTACTAGTAGTAGTAGTAGTAGTAGTAGTAGTTAGTAGTAGTAGCAGTAGTAGTAGTAGTTAGTAGTAGTAGCAGTAGTAGTAGTAGTAGTAGTAGTAGTAGTAGTAGTAGTAGTAGTTCAAGTAGTAGTAGTAGTAGAAGTATGTAAGTATGAGATGTCTGTCAATAAACATCCTCCAGTTTGTGTTCTCCTCACACAGACATCATGATACAAAATGTGCAACAGTGTCCATGCATGCTGTCATCACATGAAAATATTACTAAAAGCATGCATAATGAAATATATATATATAAACTTAACACAAAAAGTAAGGACATTTGTGTGTGGTAGAGGATTTCCTTGTTGTAACAATGCTTCTATGTGGGTATGTATGCCAAGAAGCAACAAAGAAAGAATCTACCAAACACAAATGTCCTTACTTTGTGTGTTAAGTTTATAAATGAGAGTTGTCCCCACCTATGAGAGCGGAGCTGATGCAGCGGATGGAGGCGCAGCAGGGCCCCACCACCTGCAGAGGCTGGTGTTTGCAGAGCTCCAGCAGCAGCAGGTGCCCCCCCCGGGTGCCGATCCACAGGGTCGCAGCGCTCTGCACCAGCAGGGCCTTCACCTGGGCCCAGGGGGGGGCCACATTAGGGGCGGGGTCCACCTCGCTGGCCTTCTTACAGCCGGAGTCATCTCTACAGGGAAGGGGGGGGGGGGACACAGCTGCAGTCACACACACAAGACCTCCAGACTGACATCCCACAGGACATCAAACTGTAAATCCTGAGGTCTGTGAAGTGTCACCACTCACAAGCTGTATGTTTATAACACACGGTTCATTTCTACATCTCAATTCAATTCAAAGGTGTTATCGTGATATGCTCAAAGCTACAGTGTAGAAATGGCAATGAAATTCTTCTGACCTGAGCTCCTCCAACATAATAATATAAAAATACAAAATAAAAAGTAGTACAAAAAGTCCATATACATGTATAGAATAGAATATGATATGTACAAGAACAGAATGTGAAATAAATGTAAATTAAGACCAAATTAAATACGGGTTATTGCGTGGATAACTATTTATATAAATAAGCATATTGCAAACACATCTGTTTACCGTATCCACATGTTTATATATTAATACAGTATTTAGTCTTGTGTTCTTGTGTCTTTACTGTCTTGTTGTTGAATTCTATGTGATTTAAAGACCATGGACGGGCATTTTAAATCAGAAAAAGTGTTTCTGGATTATCCAAAAATCACCATTTAGTTTTCTGTGTATAACATGTTACACATGGTGCTATGTGTGTTATAATGATATATTTAATTGTTTTTATTTTACCTTTATTTAACCAGGATGGGTCTCATATGCCTGTTTGGCTTTCCAGACACACTCAAAACAAACCCAGCACAGACAGTGCAGGTTCTAGAGTCTGTGGGGGCCCTAGGCAAACATTCACTGGGGGCCCCTCGAACCAGCTTTTCATCACCACGCACAGCTGAGAGCGGAGCAAGGCAACGAAACTTAAGTTAAGAAGCAGCATTGTAAGGCGCACTACGCATGGGGCCGCCTTGAGGGGGTTTCCCGACATGTCGTTGCAGTAAATGAAAGGGTGTTTCATGTTGTCGTTGCTGTGGACCTTCTTAATCTACCTTGTTTGGGGTTGCCTGCCTTGCAAGTCCGCAAGCGGCGGCTCTGATAGTTCAATAAAGAGATATCTACCTGATGATCTGAGCGCAGTCGATGGAGTCCACCATCCTCTCGCTGCGTTTGTCCCAAACCTCGACCACAGGCGTCCCTTTGCTCAGGTACACATATTTATCCACAACCATCCGAGACACACACGCTTCACCGGCCAGCGACCGCTGCTGCCTGAAGGATACAACAACATGAGGACAGAGTTAAACTTCAAACTCGATCTCATTCTAGAATATCTTTCTTCTTCCTCAATATTTCCCTATTTTTCTCAAAAACATTTGTTAGAAAGAATTTGATTTGTGTTGGGCATTTCTTTTGGTCCTTTATCTAACAGACACATTTCATTTCTTGTGATCAAACGTTAACGCATTCCTGTCGCAAATGATTTCCTGAGTTTCAATTAAGCGACTATAGACCCCACGCTATCCGGTGACTTATGGACTCACTGAAAGATGAGGTTGGGTCTGGTGTCGAAGCTCCTGCAGACGTCGTAGTCGGCGGTGAACGAGAGGACCCTCATCCCGCAGCCGGCCCACACACACCTGCTGTCCAGAGAATACACGGACTGACCCAGACACACGAGCGGCGTGCTGCCACTGCCCACGGTGAGCGACTTCACCGGCTGCCCGCTCTTCTGCTGCAGGGGGGGGAGGAGAGGAGAGAGGGGAGGTCACAAGAAGGTGAGGAATACAGTTTGGTACATGTTAGATTTTAAGAACAAAAACTTGATCTTCCATTCATTATCTAACACGTACCTTTAGTACAGAGTCCTCATAGATGGTAAGGACTCCATTGGCGGTCCCAACCAGCAGGTAATTCTTTCTTTGGCTGAAGAATTATACAAAAAACATAATAAATCTACCTGAGATTGAGGGGCGGGGCTTAGAGTGAGGGGTGTGTGTGTGACTGCGTGAGTGAGTGAGTGAGTGAGTGAGTGAGTGAGTGAGTGAGTGAGTGAGTGAGTGAGTGTATGTGTGTGAGTGTGAGTGTGTGTGTCTTCCAGTGAGTCCATAAGTCAACAGATAGCTTGGCTTCTAAAGTCACTTATTGAAACTCAGCATCATGACCTTATTTAACTTTTAAGATGACAACATTAGTAACAGTAGGAAGAATTTAATCAACATGGTTTCAGAACTCGAAATAACCCGAAATCAAATGAGCAAAACTGTATTTTGTAAATGAAAATGCTTAAGACTGTTTAATCTCACATATCTTTTGTTAATTGAATTCACTAGAGATCATAAACAGCCATATACCAAGATGCCAAAAGTGATGACAGTGTTGGCATTCAGACAATTGGTCAGTTAATTGTACTTTTTGGAAAGATGAATTACATTTTCATAAACCTCTGAGGATGATTCCCTAAATATTTAGCAGACCCTAAAATGTAAAATACCCTGAAGCAGCCATGCTAGATCCAATACGCCTTCTAACCAAGCATTACAATGAATATGTCCTAAAATGTGCAATGGATGTTCATGTTTCTCCCATCTTGAAACTTATATTTTAATGACCCCCCCCTCATTTGTTTAAGTCAGACCAATACATCCATTTGTTACACGAGAAGTATCATCACACATCAAATATAATATCTTACGCTCGACGAGGGTGCACGTGGAAGTAGAGCGAGGTGACGGCGTCAGTGACACTCTGCAGGTAGTGCCATTTCGACAGGTCCTCAGTGCTGATACACACCAAGTACCCTGATTGGGTGCCAGCCACCAGCCAATCACAGGCCTCCGTTGGGATTTGGACGGTCACGACACACAAGACAGGACTGGTGTCGATGTCCTGCAGGAGGAAGAGAAGTAAATGATTAATTTGGTTTGTAATTTGGGGGCGATTGTAATTGTATTGTAGTATCACTGTTCATGTTTTATGGTTCAGTGATATAACTCTTTCTGTTGGTTTCTACCCCGTTCTTGAATAATGTTCCTCCTTTGTTAGTGTCATTCTTTGTCATACTCTATAAAGCACTTCGTCAAGCATGAAAGGTGCTATATAAATAAAGTTTCTCCACATATTTATCGAATCTTAAATCTATCGATCATAAATCTATTGATTAGATTTATGATTCGAAACTTACAAAAGTCCGGCTGAACAAAACGTGCATTTATCAAACAGGTCCGTTTTCCACAGATCTTGTTTTTTTTTACAATATTCCAAAATCCTATGGAGAAATCTCGTTGCTTTTTTGTCGAGGGAATCCATGAGCAGCTTACTTCAGGGTTGACCTACAAAAATACGTCATCACTGCACCAATCTGTAGCTAATAATTAGGGTGCATTAGCGCTGTTGGTACCTGTGTAGAGACTGCGTTGGTGTCCAGGTCCACGGCTGTGATGAAGCCCCTCCTCTGGGTGCTGCTGCCCCCCCCCACCCAGGCTGTGTGTCTGATGGAGGGTCCGTCCCCGCTGCCAGAGCTCACCGTGAAGCACTCAGTGTTGAACGCACGGGGGACCACCAGCTCCCTCATCAGGCACAACATCTGGCCCGAATTCAGCCGATCAAACACCTGCACACGCCACAGAGGAGGACACACATCATTAGTTTTGTCCTAAACCTGGAAATGAGTCGCCATTTCATATCACTTCTGGGTTCCCTCGTATCAAAGTGAATGGTTTCTTTAAGCCTGAAAGAATACCCCACTTGCTAAAAAGTAACTAAAAACGTCATAACGTCGAACATTAGCCGCCTTTAGCTTAGCGATGGTGATGTGACGTAATTTGACCATGATTACGTTTATTTAAAGCGTTTGTACTTCTTGTGATTGCATTTACGCTTCAAAAAGAATAAGTGGTGTCAATATATGGAGATTATCTTGCTGAACACAGCGTGTAAATATCATAAATGTGTGTTTGCCACAGAGCTTAATTTCTGAAATATTCCAAAATCCAAAGGAAAAGGCTTTTTGTGGAGGTAGCCCTTGTTATGCTAACTCCTAATGTGAAGCTGCTAAGAAGTGCATTGTTGGTTGCAGCAGTGTAACGTTGTTGATCACACCACCAGGGGGCGCTCTAGATAAACGTGTCTGTACTTTACTAAGGTCCCATTTCACACCTGAGCAGAAGTGGGTCGAGCCTGAGGACTTTCCCTCAAACAGTCCTTCATCAGCTCCTGGAGGCCCGGCCAGGGGGAGCAGCCGTATTGTTTCACTGGGTCTGTGGACGGGACGGGAGAGTCAAAGGTCACTCGGGTATATGTTGAGGGGGATTCTGCGTTCAAGTTCATTAAACCACGTTTAAAAAAGGACGACATTTCTTAAAGTATGAGTACATTTAAAGGTGACATGTTATAAAGGCACTAACAGGGAGTAATAGCTGATATCAGTCTTTAATGATGACGCCTTTAAAAGAATCAGAAACTGGTTTATTAGCAGGTAGGTGGACACGTACGAGGGATTTGACTTGGTGTCGTGGTGCATACATACAAGTAAAAAAAAAAATGTGAGAACTATTTTAAGAACACTAGAATAACATAAAAAATAAGAACAAAAATAGCAAAAAGGGCGCTCGAGTCCCATCTATTTGCCAAGGCCTTCAGCCCCCAGTTTATTTGTTGTTATGTTTGTCTGACTGTTTGTCTGACTGATTCTTGTTGTTTTTTTTTTTCTGCAAAGCGACCTTGGGTCCCCTGAAAAGCGCTATATAAATCTAAGTTATGATTACCTGGCAGTTTCCCCTGCACGGCGACCTCGTCGAACTCGCTGGGGAACTTCATGCCGTCAGAGATGCGCTCCCCACAGGTCAGCAGGTCGTAGAGCAGCAGGCCGAACGAGAACACGTCCGCCTGCTGGTTGTAGATCACGTTCCCTCGGGCGATCTCTGGAGCTCTGAAGCCTGCGAGATATAGAGAGCAATCCATTTGAATAAGCAACAAAGTGATACTGCCCGTGAACTTACAACCCAGTGTCTGTCTGCACTGCCTGTGTTTTATCATGTTCTGTTTTTTAGTATTCCAGTAATGTATGTTGCATGTTTTTATTTGATTGTATTTACTTGTTACTTGCTTTAAGGTTGACTTACAAAATCTGTCCAGGGACTACAGATGAAAAATAGACTCTTGGCTAACTGGCACATTTACAGAAATGTTAATTGATGTGCACTGTCCCTGTTAAATAAATGAATAAATACAAATAAATAAACTGTAATTGCAGATCCTCATTGTGTATTTCTATCTTTTTTGTGTCATTGCTATTACTACAGCATAATTCTCTTTTTAATGTTATCATCTTTGTTGGAGCCAATTTGCTTTGGGTTGTGCAGGGGGTTTGTCTATGTGTGTGTGAACGCGTCATCATCCGATCTGCGCACCTGGGATCACGGGAGGTAATTAACCTATATATGTGGGCACGGGTGATCAGCTGGGACGAAAGGTTAGAGAGGAAGCCACACGCTTTTCCACCGTGTTGACCGCGATTGTTTGTGTTTGAGCGTGTGCGTGATCGTTATGTTTTAAAAAATACTTTAGATACGTGAGTCTTAAAAGAACATTTTAACCGTGGACAAGTAAATAAAGCATTTCAAATGACATCATGGTGGACCTCATCCTTAACAACAACACGCGTTGGGAACTCTGACTGCTAACCTCCATGAGTGGCCTTTTTCGATGAGCGATCGCCGCTACAATCTTTTTTGTATTTCTTTTTTATATAGCACCTGCATCTTCTCCTGTTATTGTGTTAAATAAAGTGTTTAAAAAAGAGTGTGAAAGTAATAAGAAAGTGGAGAGTTTCACCTGGCGTTCCCTCGGAGCTCCTCACCCCCATGGCGCAGCAGTACTGAGCGATGCCGAAGTCTGTGATCTTGGCGATGATCTCCGAGTCCGTCTTCAGGTTGAAGAGGAGGACGTTGTGCGGCTTCAGGTCCCGGTAGATGATCATGGCTGAGTGGAGGTACCTGGTCACACAGAAAGGAAGGGACAACGTGGATTCTATGTCATATTTTTTGCATTTTCGACACTATAGTTTTATAAGTGTTGAACCTGATTCTGAAGATCCGTATGGTATTCCATTCAGTACATTTTGGTTGATGATTTTATCAAAAAACATATGAGAAATTATAGCATCTTTGCACTTAGCCTACATCCAAAATGATACTGTAATGTACGATATTGTTATTTGATCTTCACAAGACTTTTATCAGTCAACATGTTTCGAGGAAATAAACAACAACATTTCCAATACTTCCAAATATTGTCAAGAAAATAGACTAAACAAGCCAAAACAAGAAAAGCAATTAAATGCCATAATTCCCAAAAATAAATGTCTGTTATTTATTTGTCAGATTGCAGTAAAATGGGAGAGAGAAGAAAGAGACAGATACATAAAGTGGTTTGACATGCAACAAAGATCCTAAAGCTAGTGGTTATGGTTCAATTGCACACCCTTTAATCATTTGCTGACCAATGCTCTCTTTAGGCGCATTCACACCGCAGTACTTTTCCCACAAAGGTTCATGAGAACTTAGTTCATCAGAACTTTTTAGTTCTGATGAACTAAGTTCTCACCGGTACGTACAGATCGCGTTCACACCGGAATAAGTCCCTGGGGGTGGATTAAGCAAATGAAGCCGCTGACGTCACTTCTTCTTCTTCTGCTGCTTTGGGTTTACTGGCAGGCCGCAAACAACTTCACGGCGTATACTGCCGCCCAAAATCCCCGGCCGTTGGGGTGCTGGGACTCCCAGCAGCTTCTACTGAAGCCTTCAGAGTAAATCGCCAGAACGCCGACACCTCCTCATCTCCACCGCTCCCATGTTTTATTTTGTGTTGCCATAAGTTAGTCTCTCTGCGTTTCTGCGCTGGGCTAATGCTAATAATGCTAATAAAATGGTGGCTTCACAACACTTTTTTTGAGTTTTACGGGGCGTGGTTTGCAATCCGCCCAGCCAATCAGAAATATAGCTCTTTTCTCACAAGAGAGCCGCATGAGAGTCCCTGGACGGAAAAGGGGGTAAAAAGGTTCTCATGAACTAATTTTAGTTCCGGCTCTTTTTGGTGTGAACGCGACATTTCGGAACTATATCGGAACTAAAGTGGGAAAAGTACGGCTCTTGTTCACCCCTCACTCCGTACCTGAGTCCGTCGGCCACCTGCAGGGCGATCCTGTGCTGCAGCTTCCTGTTCAGGCTGCCGTGCTCGTGCTCAAAGAGGGAGTCCAGAGAGCCTCTGAGAGCCAGCTCCATCACCAGGACCTGAGGGGAGCAGCCGGCCCCCAGCAGAGCCACCAGGCTGGGGTGGTGGAGGCGGCCCAACACCGCCAACTCCTGGAGGCCAGCGGAGAAAGAATTGAGTCATTGTACTGTCCAAAACACATATTATTTGTTTACGTCACTTTTATTTGTATTTGTTGAGCACTTCCGGCAATCGTCACGTTGGACTGTTTGGAGGTTAAATGATCAGCGGTACCTGTCTGAGGAGTCTGTAGGTGTAAAACTCAGACGCATGCTTGTTGAATATTTTCACGGCGACTTCTTCATTTTTGTAGACGCCTCGATAGACAGTCCCGAAGCCCCCGTCCCCTGTAGAGGACAAACATCATATATTTACACATCCCTTTTAAACACTTTAGAAATGAGTATGTGTTTTGACCAAAAAAAGCCACAAAAGAGAAAATAATAAAGCTCCTTGTGTTGTACCTTTTATCAAAGCTTTTAGGTTTTAATGATATGTAAGAATGTCGATAAGATAAGATGTACTTTATTGATTCCAATTTAGGAAATGTTTGCGTATATGTGTGAAGAAATGACTTACCCAGACGGTTTTCTTTAACCATGTCCACCTCCAGCTCCTCGCTGTCCAGCATGGTCCCCGCCGGCTGGTCGCTCAGCACCAGGTCCGGAGCGATCTGAGAGATGGGGAGTTTGAAGCTCGGGTCCTTCGGGTTCACCAGCAGGAAATCTATATTTGATCAAATAATAATAGCCAACATTTTAGATTTTAAGGTAGGAAGATGAGGCGCTTCTGAGCACATTTAGAAAACAAAAACGTTGAGGTTAAAACTGACTTTTATGGATTAAAAAACGAATTGTTGAATTCATGCAAGAGGCGAAAAGTTTTACGGGGATTGACAATAACTAATATTTTTAATAAATGAAAATTAATAGCATGTTGATAATAGAAAACTGTGTATATTGAAAAAATAATCTTCAATTATTAAATTATTTTCCATTCTTGCTTCGTCTCCCTCCCTCCCCAACACACACTTGAGTTTTTCAGAATGCATTTGCCAAAAAAAGTAGACAAAACAAACAGTAAAACTAAACAAAGCTAAAGATGAATTTGACCGATAGATTTATTGATTTGTTCTACTATAGTAGTGCGATCATAGCTATAGGAAGCTTACTTTCTGAAACTTATTTGGCTTGTATAATACGTTAATAATGTAAAGGAAATCAGATATTGTGGCAGCCATAATTCTCACCGACAAAAACAGTTGTTGTATTTAAGTGTGATTTATGTACCATTTTCACACTTGGTGAAGAGGTCCTCCAGCAGGATCCGGCTCCTCTCCTGCCCGTCCTGGAAGCTGTAGAGCGCCCACTTCTTCAGGAGAGCTTCTCCGCTGCCGTGCACGTCCGTGTTCAGCAGGCCGGGGAACCACTCCTCCAGCAGCGAGTCCACGTGGTCCACGACCTGACCCAGCAGCACCCGGCCTGAGGGGGGGGGGACAGTCAACCATTTTAGAAAGATTGATTGATTGATTGATTGATACATTTCATTTCGAACAAGTAAAATAAATAATTGCAAAACAAGAAATGTTTTGCAGTGCATAGTCATGTAAGAGAAATCAAAACAAAAAATGCCATTTACAACAACAACAGCCTTAGCAACATAAACAGTCCCACATTTAGTGTTCGAAAAGGAGTGAGAAGAAGTATAATTTATTTAATCTCACCCCCTTGTCCCTAAATGATTTATTTATAATCTATAATCTGCAATAATTATCATTATTATTGTTATTATTATTATTATGAATCTGCTTTACCTGTTGATTGAAATATATACATATACACATAATGTCCATACACACAAGATAGATATTAAGTGTACTCAAAAGATAAAAGCATGGATGGAAGCTTGTTCGTTTAGTGGTCTTATTTTCTTAATTGGTCATTAACAACTGAAAACATTCAGGAATTGACTTTGAAAGTAACGATTTATTAAAAAAGGTGTATTTTATTGAGCTTTATCTTTAGGTGTGAATAGCGATTGAACGTTTTGTCCCTGAAGTTTTGTGTGATTTTGAGATGATTTGCATATTTATGTGTTTGGGCCCTTTTAGACAACACTGGAAACACTGCAGTGCCTCTGTGATTTATTTTATATACATTTTAATCAAGACAACCGATTTATAAGATAAGAGATATTTTACATCCCTTTTTTTACTTTTTATTTATTGAATTGTATTCCATACAAGACGTCTTCAAAATAGAAATCTAGTCTAATTTTTTTACATACAGTATAAAATGGTTTGCCTCAAAACCGTTTTTTTAACCTGAAGAAAAACATAAATAAATACAAAATAATTTTAAAAAGCCACTTCAATAATACAAACATGTTGTTTTTTTAAATTTATGATATTGCCAAATTTATACAAGATGATGAAATATAAGGTAAAAATAAAAACATTGGCACCTTTTCGTGAGGAGGGCACAGTGATCCTGACGAAGCTGGAGGGGTTCTCCTCCAGCGAGGCGGCCTCCAGCAGACAGTACGCCTCCGGAGACCAGCTCAGGTACACTCCTCTCCTCCAGTAGATCCGGTTGGGCCGCACCACTTTACCTGGAGAACACACAGCATGAACATTCATTCATTATTCTCTATCATAGTTTAAAGATGGTGTTTTAAATGTCAGGTCAAAGGGAAAAATCATCATCTCAGTTTCTATTAAAACAAGTTTTGCCAGTCCAAACTCAATCAAATTCAGTTTTCTTAAGACATAAAGCTACACAAGTAATTAAAAAGAAATGTATAATAGGCTTGCGCAATATCAACATTTCAGTATATCATATCATGCCATGCAGCCCTTATATCATATGAAAAATTGTAAAGTAGAGAATTTGGATATTTGAAAGACGAAAACTACATTTCCTACAATCTTTCCATGAAAAATTTACATATCGTATCATGTAGCATTTCCCTCCGAATAATGGTCGTAGGCTTTACTTTACTGATGAATTAGAATTTATTTGTAACTCCAGACCCAACGTAAGAGCTTGAGCCTCTTCGGGGGGTGCCAACATTTACATATACAGTCCGACCGTTCTTCTCTTTCTCCGCCGTTACATAGAAGCGATATTACTTTCTCCGTCACGTTGTTTTCAAAAGCTTCAACCACTTCCTGTCAGCCGCGTTAACTCGACTTCAAAATAAAAGCATACAAATGAAACAGAAAGTTCACCTAAATTACATTATAAGATATATATAAAACTGCAACGAAAGCAACAAAAACAATGCAACATCCCCTTCAGTCTCAAAAAACACAAATTGGGTTATCTACATTTCAGATTATCGAAAAAGTTGCCGATTATATTACTGTTGATCAACATATCTCTAAACTACAGTATAGTACCATGTATGAAAGAGTGACTGTGCGTACTGTAGTGTAACTCACCTCTTCCACAGAGCAGGAAGGAGGAGACCTCCAGCAGGCGGCTGATCTGACGCGCCCAGAAGTCCATGGGGAAGTACGGCATCTCGTACAGACGCACGATCACCTCCGAGTTCTCACAGTGAGGCAGCTCGATCACCGGCCTGTGTTTGGACAAACTGGAACGGAAGAAAGAGTTAAAGGTCCCCTATGATACTGTTTTTCATCAATACATTATAGGTCTCAGAAATATACAAAACATGTCTCTGAAGTGTTTGGCTCCAAACACCAAACAGATCATTGCAGCATTACCCATAATCCCCTCTGTTTCAGCCCTGTTTCAAAAGTGCTGATTCTCTGTCTGTTAAAAATAACACAAGGCGCTTTCACACCGGAGTACTTTTCCCAGGAATAGTTCCGATAGTTCCTGGGATTTTGCGTTCACACCAAAAAGATCTGGAACTAGAACTTTTTTTCGGGAACCTTATCCCCCCTTTTCAGTCCCTGCTAGAGAGGTGGTACTTTCCTGGAGAAGAAAAGGTTCCAATTTATGATTGGCTGGGCGAATTGCAAACCACGCCCCATAAAACTCAGAAAAGTTTTGTGAAGACCCCATTTTATTTGCTGGCATTAGCATTATTAGCATTAGCCCAGCGCACCAACGGAAAGAGGCTAACTGCCACCCGAAGACTCCGGGACTTCGGGTGGCAGTATATGCCGTGAAGTTGTTTGCGGCCTGCCAGTAAACCCAAAGCAGAAGAAGAAGAAGTGACGTCAGCGGCTTCATTTGCCTAATCTCCCCTCAGGGAACTTATTCCGGTGTGAACGCGATCTACTAAATAGTTCAGGAATTAAAGAGTTCCTGGGAAAAGTACTTGGTGTGAACGCGCCAATTGGTGCTCTAGGAGGAGATTCAGGTGATAAGGTGTGTGGGGGGGGGGGTTACCTTGGTTGCTGATTTGGCTAATGGTTACACAAGCCAACACATCG